AAAAAAAAAAATGACAAAGGATGAACTGAAGCTCTGCCATCACGTAATGTCGCATACTGCTGTTTCTGATGTCATTTGGAAAAAAAAAAAAAAAAAAAAAAAAAAAATGAAATGAAATGCTTCAACTCCAGAAAACCATCTGAGGCGGAAAAAAATTCAAATGAATCCTGTAAATATATGCACATTTCAACCTGCCTCTTAGATTTGAGCCACTAAACTTGAGTGAGGCTGGTTGATGCTCAAATTACTGCATTTATTTATTTTTTTAAACTTATAAGCCTCATTCACCTCTGCTATAAATCACCACTTAAGAGATCTGTCATAAATAAAAAGATTTCCTCTCTGATTTTCCTCCCTTCACTGAGAATGAGTTATGTGTCCTGTTTTTATGCATTCCCTTAAAACACTGTTGACATTTTATAATTTCCTGAATCTATCTATCCTGAAGCAACTCTATGTTGCTTCAGGATCTGAATATTAACTATTGTTTGATCGGTTCAAAAAGATATCAGTCAGAGCCATTAAATACGTTTTTTAGGCGTTTTTTTTTTTTTGCCCATTGATGTCTTCTGTCTTTTCCTGGGTATTTGTGGGTTTCCTGTGCATGAGATGGGCTTTTCAAAGGCCCACTACATCTGCTTTGGTTTGTTTCAAGCCCATCTGGTGCAAATTTCCAGTGCCAAAGGGGTAGTTGAAGCATAAGTTGAATATTGATTGAATATTGTCTGATATATTTGCTTCCTTAACATAGCTGACTCCACACGCACGCCACAACATTAAGTGAGCGAGCAGCCCACAACAAGGTGGCTTGTTGTGTGCCCATACACATTTGCATTCATGTAGTACTGACCTCTGTAGAGATGCATGGCAACATGTATGCAGAGGCTGAAAAATGAAGCCAACACAGAAGTGCTAAAAACTGCAGTTCCTCTAACAACCACTTGTCAGTTCCCATTTAAAGATGATGACTGACTGATAACCCCGCCCTGTCCTCCAAATATGGTCACAAACCGACACATGCCACGCAGCCAAAACGTTAACAAGTCTACAAAGCGGGGAATAATGTCACCAGTGGTTACGTCTATCTTTTACATCTACACACATCTTTTCTATGTGCACAGCAGGTCTTCAGACGAATCACGTCCATTCTTCTATTTAAAATGAGTAGCAATTTTCTACTATTGAGAGAAAGATGATAGAAAAGTGCCTCACAGTGCCTGCACTGGTTTTGTAAGATGTTAAATTAGATATAGTTTGCTGTTGGGGTTATTTCTGGGAAGATGGAGCAGGGTCTGTTTTCCTATTGGGTGTCAGTGGAAAAGGAACAATATCTGCATCGAATTCTATTAAAGCCTAATCTTGATTCCAGTTGTCTCCCAAACACCTGCATAATAGCTGGGATGTAAATTAAGGGCTAAGAAAAGCTAATGTTACCTTTAGGTACTAACACAAAGTAATGTGGTGCAGATGAAGAATATATCTGAATGCACTGCAGGAGTAATGAAGTCTTCACATTTTACTATTTGGTGTTGCTTGGCCCTCTTCGGCATACTTTTTCATCTGCTCTTGACGGGATGCATCCATTTGTAGGGCAATTTTAAAACTCCCAGATGCTGCAGTTACCATTAAGGAAGAAATCTACCAAAGTATTCCTGTCAAAAAGTCCTTTTTTTCCAGTGACATATTGCACCATAAAGCATATCATCAGTGCTTCTCTTCTTCCATACTCGACAGTTTGAGCTCAGTCAGAGCCATAAACCTAGTTTGTTATACATGAACCTCATCAAAGTAACAAAGGACTACCAAACAGCTGTTGAAACCTGACTGTTTTTTCCCTGAAATGGTACCATTACTTAAAAGTATAAAGTAGACTAAACAGTGTCTTTAGGAGTTCTGTAGGTGTATTAATATGAATGGAGATATTATGTAGTTTAAATGCTTTATGTATCATAATATTCAGTGGTGTGCTGTTAATAACTGCAGTCACATCTGGTGCCGCAGCTTTATTACTAGTAACACAGCACTCTCCTCTGTGAATAACTGCCATTCCTACCGCTTCACAGCTACTTTTGTCATCTGTTGCATTAACACTGTCTTCGTTTTCATGAGCTTGTTTAATGTTTGATGCTTTTTTATAAAAGGCTTAATGGTTCAATTACATATTTACAGTTACAGCTACATATATTTTATTTTTAGACTCAATGGCTTTGCACGAATAACAGTTCAAAATTATTCTCATTGATGCTTGCTCAGGTTCTCGGTGCAGCCCCTCAGTTTATCCATTGTTTAGAACGAACCTTTTTAGCTGCTTTCCCTTTAGCTGAACTTTCTTCTGATTGGCTCCCCAATGTAAACAGATGATCTAATGGTATGTGTGTGGTGCCTTTGATGATCCCACCTCGAGCTCTCTGAGACGACCAAATCTATTCTAATTTACATCATACAGATTCAAAAGTTAAAAGCTAAAAACTGAATTTTTAGAGCAGCCTGATGCCCGAGCTTTTGGGCTTTAGAAACTACTTAAACACTGGCTGACCTCATTACTAAACGTTTCCCATGTGTAGCATAATCATCCAGCCTTCTCATAGTATTTTGTGTGTGTGTGCTTGCTGCCTGTATGTTGAGTGTTTTTTACAAGACAAGAACACGGGCAATTCAATTCATTTTTTATGTATATCATACCAAATCACAAAAACAGTTGCCTCAAAGCCCTTTATATTGTAAGGTAAAAACTCTACAATATTACCAAGAAAACAGAGAATATCCTAACAATCATATAACCCTGTATGGGCAAGCACTATGGCAACAGTGAGAAAGAAAAACTCCCTTTTAACAGCAAGAAATCCCCAGCAAAACCACACTCAGGAACAGGCAGCCATCTGCCTCAACAAGCTGGGGTGAGTGGATGAAGACAGGACAAAGACAGGCTCTGGGTGATACAGTACTATAAATAAAAGGGGGTTGTTTCAAATCAGTTCAATTCAGTTTTAGATAATAGTGCCAGATCACAGCAACAGTCACCTCATCCTACAATAATACAGAGCAAACCCAGCAGTCAAACAACCACCTTTGAGCAAACACTTGGCGACAGTGGGAAGGAAAAAAGGTCGATGCTAGTATACTGGAGAAGAGAGTCAACCCATTAGTTGAAATTCAGATTCTGGGGAAACAATGCTGTTGTCGTCCTGACTGTGGATCTTTGGCTGGACTGTTCCTTACAGGCAGGAGTAAAGTCATTTGAAAAGGACTCAGAGTAGAGCTGCTACTCCTCCACATGGATAGGAGCCAGCTGGTTCAGGCATGATGCCAACTGGGCACCTCTGGGTGAGGTGTTCTGGGCATGTCCTACTGGGAAGATGCCTGGGATGGACCCCAGATAAGCTGTTTGATGTGAAAGGGAGGCTTAGCCTGCTGCGTCTGTGACCTAGTACCAGATAAGTTGCTAAAGATGGATGGATGGATATTTAAGGATCAAAATCATTTGCCATATCAAATTAAAAATAAGTTCATAAGGTTTTAAAAGAAGGTTTTCTGAGAAAAAAGAGGGAATTTCCAATTTTTATATGTTCAAATACCTGAAATTCACTAAAGAATTGAAATATTCTACTACCATATCCGGTCTAAAATAAAAAATAATATAATATCTTAAGCCCTGGGCCAAGCATTTCAGCACCAATTAGAAGTAAAGTAACAATCATCCGCTCGGGAAATATTTTCCAGATGCTGCAACCGCTTTCTTAAATTTTACTTTTATACCCAGACTGTCACTGTCTCAATTTGTGCAAGGTCATTTCAAATGAAAAGTCGCAACATCAAATAACCCAAACATTTTTGTCAACCATAAATAGCTGCAGCAAAAAGAAGAAAAAAAACAAAAAAAAATTAGTCTGCCAGGAGTCAAAATGATTCAAGAAGCAGTTTGAAAATATCACATCTCTGTCACCCAAGAGTCAGTAATGAGGAAGATGATATTGCCCAGACCAGAGCGCTCAAAAAGGTGTTGCTAGTTACATAGGAGGTCAGCTTCATGATTTCTCTTTCCTCTGTGTCACTTTCTGCCATTGACCAAAACCAACTGCCAGTGTCAAGCTATGTTCCTGCCAATTACCGCTCCAGTTTAAGAGAGTATTGTTTGACATAATGAAAGGGATGCTAGCCAGGTGGTAATTGTTGATCTCCAAATTACTGTCTGGATGCCCAAAAATGGGAGAGCAGGACAAATTGTGCTTTTTATTGTTGTCTTTGTCTCTCACAATCATGGCTGGTTTTGTATGACTCAGCGACATGTGGTTTGGGTGACATGAGAGAATCTTGATAATTAAACACATGGTCTATAAGACAGACCCTTTGAAGATTATAGGGATTCGCATAACAGCAGCCAAATGGTTTCCATCTTTGTAACATGTGGGTGAAATAAAACTCACTTTGAACTGTCGAATGAAAGACAAAGATGGCAAAAGCACTAAAGTGGAAAGAGAATGTGTGACAAATAACTCAGAAAAGTCTTCTTCTATTTCTGCAGGATGAACCAGGCTCCCACCAGTGGTTTTGAGGAGGATGTGGGCAGCAGGACAACTCATCACGTCATGTATCCAGAAAGTGCCATAGACCTGGACAATATTACTAGTCTGGTGCTGATCCCTTTCAAGACTCTGGATCTGCAGTGGATTATTAGTGCTCTGACCACTGGCACTATTAAACAGTAAGTGAACATTAAAGCTGCGCTCATCTATAATTCCACATTCAAAATGGATTAAATATTGATGCATAATGTGAAAGACTGTCAGTGAAGAACCCACAGAGAGTTGTAACATAATGTCATTCTTCTCACTAATCTTATATTATGGGCAGCAACTTGTTTAAATTCACCTGCTCTCATCTTTACTGTTTCCACCTGTAGGCGGTGGACAGGCTCCATCTGTTCACCACCAAATTGCTGCCAAATTTAACAGCAACATATTCACTATTTAGCAGCTAAAGAGTTCTTTTTTTTCCTGAGAAATCCTATGTTTTTCAGTGAACTCCAAATCAATGGAGAAATGGCGCTTTGAACCTTCTGCATGCCTAAAGCTGGGCATATATACGGCTATACGGCTCGAAGCTTTGATGCGACCTGAGTGCTCACACTGTGCGTCCAAATTTGCGTCTAAATATTATATAGCTAATATATAACACAAAATCTGTCTCTCTCTCCCTCTCTGTCTTTCACTCACACAGACACACACACACGTACCACCATCAACTTTGCTAAATTGCTAATGAAGAACATAGTTGAGCAGCAATGTCCATCCAGCTCTTTTCTCGGTTGTTGCAGTCGTGATAGTTTTGTGAGGCCACATCGAAAAGGTTTGCCAAAGTTCTACAAGTTGGGCCTCCACCGCTTGTGTCCAGATCACACGCTGCACTGCCATTCTGCTCTGTCATTTCCATTTCTGTGTTTGTGCATGCGCAGTGTGAGAGGTTGCGTTAAATCGACTCGTGGCACTGCTTCAGCAGTGCGATACCCTCACAGGAGGCGACCAGGATTTCAAACAGGTTTGATTTTCTCGTGGCCACACGATTGCTGATTGGGAGCTGGCGGCGAGGTGTTAATTGCTTCGCATTATCCCATGTATACTACACGATGCATGACACACGATTAAGGCGAAACTCGTGCTGATCCCCAAAATGGTTGCATAAGTGAAAAATCATCCCAAAATGGGCCAAAAATCGCACAGTGTATGCCCATCTTAAATGGGTAGTTTGTTGTTAACAAGGTCTAAAGTGACTGTTGCATTGCCCACAACTGACCTTGAACATGTCACTAGCCTATTGCAGATGAACTCAAAGATAATAAAAAAGGCCAGTTGATGCTTATCCAGAATTTAGAGCTGTAACAGTAGATGTCACAGGTTTTCCAGAATGGAATGTTTAGTCAGTATGAGCTCATTAGAAGGTTTTGTTATTTTAGCTTTAAAGAAATGTATTAAACAGAAATGTATTAAATTGTGGAATCATTTAACATATCATATTTTTATGTATAACTATATTGACACTTAAAATTGATCAATAAAAATAACTTAAGTCAGAATTTTTAGGTCCAAAAATAGATTTAGCCAGACCTGCAGCAGCCAGTTTTTATGCAGGAAAAATATTTTGTTCTTTTGAACTGTATTAATTCTAGACCGACCATAATGTATTTATAAGAAGTTAATTACAGTAAAGCATAAACACAAATCACAGGTAATTTTTTTATATATAATTAGCACAAAAGTGTGTCAAAAATCCGGAGCCAAAATGATAATCTTTCTCTGGCCGATCACTTTTGGAATCTCGCTTTTTAGTCTATTAAAAAGTAACAACACTCAAAAAAGAACCTCTGGGAAAAAACTGAGTTTGCTGCAAAACTGATTGTTGACAAAAAGAGCAGGGTCATTAGTCAAAGAATCAAAAGTGTCCCCAGAATGTTTCCCATAAGCACATGCTCCAACAGTGAAAAGAGACTCTTCTGGGCCCTCACTTATATACAGGGTGGGCCATTTATATGGATACACCGTAATAACATGGGAATGGTTGGTGATATTAAAGTCCTGTTTGCGGCACATTAGTATATGTGAGGGGGCAAACTCCTCAAGATGGGTGGTGACCATGGTGGCCATTTAGAAGTCGGCCATCTTGGATACAACTTTTGTTTTTTTTAATAGGAAGAGGGCCATGTGACACCATCCATCCATTCGCTTCCGCTTATCCTTTTCAGGGTCGCGGGGGGCGCTGGAGCCTATCCCAGCTGTCATAGGGCGAGAGGCGGGGTACACCCTGGACAGGTCGGCAGTCTCTCGCAGGGCCAACACACAGGGACAGACAACCTTTCGCACTCACATTCACTCGAACATTCACACCTAGTGGCAATTTGGATTGACCAATAAACCTATCCCCACAAGCTGCATGTCTTTGGACGGTGGGAGGAAGCCGGAGTACCCGGAGGGAATCCACGCAAACATGGGGAGAACATGCAAACTCCACACAGAAAGATGTGATGGTAGAATTGAACTCAGGACCTTCTTGCTGTGCGGCAACAGTGCTAACCACCGTGCCACCGTGCTGCCATGTGACACATCAAACTTATTGGTAATGTCACAAGAAAAACAATGGTGTGCTTGGTTTCAACGTAACTTTATTCTTTCATGAGTTATTTACAAGTTTCTGAACACTTATAAAATGTGTTCAATGTGCTCCCCATTGTGTTGGATTGTCAATGCAACCCTCTTCTCCCTCTCTTCACACACTGATAGCAACACCGCAGGAGAAATGCCAGCACAGGCATCCAGTATCCGTAGTTTCAGGTGCTGCACATCTCGTATCTTCACACTATAGACAATTGGCTTCAGATGACCCCAAAGATAAAAGTCTAAGGGGGTCAGATCGGGAGACCTTGGGGGCCATTCAACTGGCCCACAACAACCAATCCACTTTCCAGGAAACTGTTCATCTCGGAATGCTCGGACCTGGCACCCATAATGTGGTGGTGCACCATCTTGCTGGAAAAACTCAGGGAACGTGCCAGCTTCAGTGCATAAAGAGGGAAACACATCATCATGTAGCAATTTCAAATATCCAGTGGCCTTGAGGTTTCCATTGATGAAGAATGGACCCACTATCATTGTACCCCATATACCACACCAAACCATTACTTTTGTTGGTCCAACAGTCTTGGAGGGATCCATCCAATGTGGGTTAGTGTCAGACCTATAGCGGTGGTTTTGTTTGTTAACTTCACCATTCACATAAAAGTTTGCCTCATCACTGAACAAAATCTTCTGCGTGAACTGAGGGTCCTGTTCCAATTTTTGTTTTGCCCATTCTGCAAATTCTGTGCGCCGATCTGGGTCATCCTCGTTAAGATGCTGCAGTAGCTGGAGTTTATCCGCCGAAGGGATATTCGACTAATGCCACTCTCCAGTGACATGCGGCGAGTGCTACGCTGTGAGCTCTTGCTGAATGAAGCTAGGACAGCCACTGATGTTTCTTGATTAGTGACAGTTTTCTTGCATCAACATTTTGGCAAATCCAACACTGAACCAGTTTCAGGAAACTTAGCAAGCAATTTGCTAACTGTAGCATGGGAGATGGGTGGTCTCGTAGGGTGTCTTGCATTGAAATCTGCTGCAATGGCCCGGTTACTGCGTTCACCAGATATCAAAACAATTTCGATCCGCGCCTCACGTGTTAACCTCTTCGACATGTCAATGGCTGTGAACAAAGAGAAACTTGTAAATAACTCTTAAAAGAATAAAGTTATGTTGAAACCAAGCACACCATTGTTTTTCTTGTGACATTACCAATAAGTTTGATGTGTCACATGGCCCTCTTCCTATTGAAAAAACAAAAGTTGTATCCAAGATGGCCGACTTCTAAATGGCCACCATGGTCACCACCCATCTTGAGGAGTTTGCCCCCTCACATATACTAATGTGCCACAAACAGGACTTTAATATCACCAACCATTCCCATGTTATTACGGTGTATCCATATAAATGGCCCACCCTGTAGAGCAAAGAGCCACCGACTCTTGTCTTAGTTATTTAAAGTAAAAATCATGTCATGTATCACAAGCATACACAATATACAAGGATTGATATGCTGGCTACACCATGAATCGTCACTCATATGGCAAACATATCAGGCACAGCTTGACCTTTCCAGCATGCCTGCTACACAACACATCCCATCTACTCCCACTGTGTTCTGCCTGCTGACTGTATGACAGCATACTGTGGCAGTGCCAGCATGTAAGCATAGCCATGAGGTCAAATGGAGTTTAATTCTCAATAGTTACACAGAGTTCAGTTAGTCTATTTTTATTGTGTAACTAGACAATAAAAATGTTTTTCCACACAGGTTTCATGTAGCATAGATCATCCGAGAAGCTTCTTCAGTTCTAAGGTCAAATGGTGGGGACCTTAGAACTGAAGAAGCTTCTCGGATGAGAGGTGAAACGTCTTCAAGCAACTTAAAGAAGTCCAGACGCTTTTCTTTGCAATCTCCTTTGACTACGATGACCTGGATGACTGAGAACCTTCACAGACATTCTCTTTTATTCCGAGTTGGATGTGATTTGCTTCATTTATCATCTCATTTGTCACTGGAATCAGCTCAAACATTTTCACTAGCATGGAAATGTAAAAGCCCCAAATGCATAATCAGGCATACTTCATGTGCAGCATTCCCAGATTCATTTACATCCTTCAAATACCAGATTGTCACAGCAATCAGACTTGCTCAATATTGCTGTTTGTCACATAGCCATAACAAGGATAATCACTCACTTTGAAATTTTCCAGTAAATTTCACCTTCAGTTGTTTCACCCCCAGTGAACCATAATCATTAGCTTGATTACTGGACATCCAGGGAAAAAAATGAAGTCACCGCCAATTAATGCCACTGCCAATAACTCAATCACGCCAGCATGTTAGATGGTGCATGTAGCCAAACAAATATTGCCCATAAATATGCAGTTGTCTTCCAACTCTGCCAAAGCAATCATTCTGCATCATTAAATTTCACTTTGCTGAGAGTAATGTCAGCATTAACCCAACAGCCAGTAGATCTTAAGTGGGAGATATGAGTTATTATCAGTTATTGTTTTACATTTTCTAAGCTTGTTAAATTAAATGGGGCTTTGAAAGGACAGAACTAGTTAAATGGACATATGGCTTTCTGTTTCTGGATAGGAACAAACCTTGCTGTGCACGCACAAAAAATAAAATCTGACAAATCTGCATAACAGCCTGTAGTTAAATAAAAGAACCAGAAGGGCCTGAAAACAAGTTGTCATGTGCAGTACTGTGAAAAACTAAGGACACTTCTATAGCTTGTAGAACCATCTTTGATGCAGGAATTTTCTGTATGACTGTCGGTCACTCACGTCATTGCTTTGACCCACTCTTATTTACAAGGTTGCTTTAGTTCATTGAGATTCGCAGGTATTGTTTATGCAAACTAGGGCTGGGTATCGTCACTGATTTCTAGAATCGTTTCGATTCCGATTCACAAGGTCCCGAATCAATTCGATCTACGATTCGATTCAAGTCGATTTGAATCGGGGAAATTTTGCCTCAGACAGTCAGAAATATTATAATTCAGATCATGCATCAGTACATGTCCATATTTTTATATCTATAAAAATAAAGCTGACACTTGCGAGACTTTATCAAAGGTGTAAGCATCACAGCAGATGCCTGTATCAAAGTAACTGAGGATAAAACACAAAAAAACACGAAGGTGATTTTCCTGGCCTGGGATTCAAAAAAATAATAATTCTGTAGTAGATCAATAACGAAAGAAAACCATTAATCAACATCTGAACATTACCTGATGCTGCTGAAGTGAAGCAGAGCAAAGTTACAGAGGTTTTATTAGAGACACAGCTGAGCATTTTGCAATTTTGCATAATTTTAAAAGGTTTAAATTTGTTCAGTATTGAACAGCAGAAATGAGGCTTTCTTTTCGGAAGTAAGTAAAAGGAAAAAACAGCGGCCGACAGAATTGTGCGCAAACGAATAATGAATAAAACATATTTTTAGACGGGAAACTGTTCTTGAAGTATACTGAGAGAGAGAGAGAGAGAGAGAGCTGTGCATGAAGTGTGATTTTATCATGGTGGAGGCAAAACAGCAAAACTAAGAAGGAATTCATGACGATGTTTATCAAATGTGAAGCGTAGTTTGCTGCTGGTTCAGTGAATTTTGGTTGGAGAGAGATAAAACCTGCAGCTCAAAATCTCAGAAAAAAAATACGTAAACACAAAGCATGGACCAGATCAGTGAGCACCCCTACTGTGTCCATGTTGTCGGGTGAGAAAGGCGTCGGCGGGTCCGCACTTTGTGTTTATGTCTTTGTGCAGAATCCGTGCACCAGCTCTCATTTACTGTTTTAGCTGTTTGGTGGTTGTTGAAATTTTGTGAGGTTTAGCCTGAGATTCCGGCTTTTTGAGTAAAATAAATTATATTAAAGAATCAATTCAGGATTTTAATGAATCAATATCACGTTATCCAAGCTAGAATCGATTTTAATTGATAAATCGATAATCAAAACCCACCCCTAATGCAAACCTCTGTTAAAGGGCCAATACAGCATTTCGATTGGGCTGAGGTCTGGACTCTGACTGGGCCTCACCAGGTCTTTTCTGTTCTTTTTCAGCTATTCTATTTTAGATTTGATGTTTCTGCTTGGGATCACTGTCCTGTTGCATCACCCAGTTTTAGCCAAGCTTTAGCTGTCAGACAGTTTCACCTCAGAATACTTCGGTATACAGTGGCATTCATGGTCAACTCAATGACTGCAAGGTGCCCAGGTCCTGTGGCTGCAAAACACGTGTTTGTGCTGATATCCAGCTTTAGTTTTTTGCCAAATATCATGCTGTGCGTGATAGCTAGACATCGCCACGTTGATCTCGTTAGTGGAAAGGACATTGTTTAAAGAGGGCTTTTTTTAAGGTTTCTTTAGATGCAACTCTATAAAGCTGTTGTGCCACTTTGTGGATCGATTACTAGTGGAAGACCTAGCATTACCAAGAGAAAGCTAACCACAAAAGATTAAGCAAATTGGAGGCATTTTGTGTCTGCAAAAGAGAGCTCTAATTAGATTGCAGTGCAAATAATTGCATACATTGTAATTTATTTTTATTATTTTTTTAAATTATTTGATTTATTAAAATCAGTTTGGTAATATATATATATTCCTGGAAGGATTTTCTAAATTTTATTTCTACAGAAGAAAGTTGAAAGTGGGGAGTATAGTTTATTCAACAACATTGTTATAAGACCATGAACCAATGAATCTGTATTATATTGAAGCTGTAAAACATTTAAATTGGTATATGCTGAGTTTTAAGTATAACTAATAATCTGATATGCATAGAAATCTGTTGGGTCCATGAAAAACTGTTTTTTAAGGCTTGAAAAGTCGATTCCCACCTTCATAGTGGTCGCAGCAGATGGCTGGCCGTCCCTGAGCATGAGGTCTCTTCCTGTTAAAAGGGAGTTTTTCCTTCCCAATGTCACCAAGTGCTTGTTCAAAGGAAGCTGTTTGATTGCTGGGGTTTTCTCAGTATTGTTCTAGGGTCTGTCATTTTGCACTAGATGAATTAAATTGAATTAAATTGAATTTGCTTTGTGTATGTGAATCTTAAATAGGATCTGTGAGACTCTCCTTTCTCTCACAATAGAGTCCTGTCTTTCACTTTAGTGACTATATTGTTGTAGGACAGCCATGTCTCCTAATGCACGTTTATGGAGGCTGCAGGTCTGTCCGCAACTAAAATATTTAGGAATTTTCAGACAAATATCAAATGGATGCATATTTATTTCCCACAGGCTCCTCTTGACTGGGTCTTTGCCCCCACTGTGCCCACTTGAATTCCTGGAAACACTTTTCTCTGTACCATCTTCTTTCTTTAAATGAGACACACTTAGGGTTTTTCTGACAGCGAGGATGGGTGACTAAACATGTAAGCACAATTACTTTGCAAAGGCCAAGAGTTTGTGTTATCCTATTCGAAAAGAATGTATGTTATTCCTATTTTTTTTTTACCATTTAATAAGTTTAACAAATTTATACTATGTTCAAGTAGAAGAAACCTCTATTAACAATTAAGTGTAAACATTTTTTCTTTCTTCACTTTGCTGCATTTTCTTTTGGTTCTTTATGAAGAATAAATCTGAGGGTTTCCAAAAAAAGCTCTCCTGAAAAATACCCTACATGCTGCCTCTGAGGCCACAACCTTGATTAACCTTTTTTCTAATTAAACATCTTTATCTTTATTGTAGTTTGCCATGTATTTAGTTTTCATTTGAGCCTAGTAGTTTATCATGCAGTGTGTGAACATATGCACAGGCAGAGTGTGGAATTCCCATGGAGTGTAAATTAAGTTTATTAGCTTCTTTATTTAGGAAAGTAGAGAGTCCCATTTTTTGCATGTGTCTCTGTTTCCATTTGTGATGCGCTACAATCCACACAGCCTAAATGCAGCCACCTCACAGCACTGCACACACACCTCTATTTAAAAATCATGTGTTGTCACTAACAGCTCTGATGTGGGGAACGATGCAAAAAAAGAGCCTGACGGTGAGCATTAGTCACTGTAATGACTGCAAACTCTGTTCATGAGGTTTTAATTACTTTGCCTGATACAGGTGAGGAGGGACACTGGGCATTCATTTTTATACATCATCAGTGGCATTTCATTACAAACATGTAACCTGCCAGATGGTGTTCAGCAGAACATTTCAGGGGATGCTTTAGAGCTGGGGTATCAAACTCATTTTACATTATGGGCCCCATACAGCCCACTTTGCACCGGCTAAAGTCCCTTTTCTGTCAGTATAGAGAAGTTTATTTGTACATTTAATCCTGAAGATTAATATTTTCTTAATATAAGGAAAATACATGCAAAAGTATGTTTCTGTAATACATGATTTGGGCTTAAATTATTAGAAGTGAATGTGTAAAATTACAGAAGCAGTTCTGGTAACTCCAGACTGTCCTGTAAGTATAAAACTGAAAGTTTATATTTTTTAACAAATTTTGTTTCAACGATTGTAAAAACTCTGTTTATCTATTATTTACTCACTTTGTTATAGTAGGACTGCTATGGTCATGAGAGAAGTCTTTATTAGTAAGAAGAGATTTAAAATTTATGAAAATAAAGTTAGAAATCCAAAATTTATGCCATCCTTCACATTCTCCAAAGCACTCCGGCTAGCTGGGTTGGAGTCTTTGTTGGGCCAATTCTGGCCCCAGGGCCTTATGTTTGACAACCCTGCTTTAGACAATTCAATGGTCTAAACTCCTGTAATTTTTCTTGTCTTACAGCACATATTTACCTGTGATGTCCAGGATAAAGGCAAATAAAGATAAGGTGAGTTATGGCTTTATTACAGCATCAGTAGGCGCCGTTGTTTCAAGAGGAAAATGGGTAAATGACTTTTAAAGAGGCTTCACTGTTGGAGATTCACTTAAAAACAAACCGCTCACCTGGATAGTGTTTTAATAGAAACAGCTGCACTGAAGCCAACTGAGTTATTCTTATGCATCAGTGTGATATAAAAGGAAAAACAGAAGAGCAATTCTCCCTCAGCCAAGTGAGAATCTCAATGACGACGTGATCAGACTGCCAGTAAGAACATGCTTGAAGGCCAGATGAGTCATCCTTCACCAAGTTCTCAACAAGTAGATGAGTGCATGGGTGAACATGTAAGAGTAACGCATTAAGAAAATTTCCACGCATTAAACAACATAGTTCCAAAACCAATAATTTATTTGGAACATACAACAGCACAGGAGAGCCTGTGGAGTGGTTATGAACCCTCCCGCTAATGGAGCAAGGCTTGCGAGCTTGTCGAGAGCTGCACTCTGATAGTTTCCACTTCAAGCATACCACATCAATTTGGCCGTCTATTAAAGACGCAGAATTTTTCATGTTCACATGTTCAACCCTTACACCAGCTTCCCAGCATTCACCTCTAGGCTCCTGGGGAATTTTTACTCATCTCTCCCAAATTTGTATCTGTATCATATTTGCAGGGGCTGATGAGCTCTGAGACTTGATGCCAAACTCATAACTGTATTCAGCTGTTGTAATGAATAAGTCATTCCAGATGTGAAATGTCTGCCCGAAATATAATGAATGTAGGCTACAGCAGCGGCCCTTATTTCCCTTCACGCCGGTGATCAGTCATCAGTCACTCTGTAGCGTGTTGAGGTTTGCGTTGTAATTTCAGTCCCTCTTGCAATGCAAGTGTTACTTTCAGCTCTTGTTTGTGACCTCCTTGTTCAAAGGAGAGTGATTTTGTCATTTTTTAACTCCTTTATATATATTTTTAACCATTTGTGAGACAACATGTTGAATTTCTTGGCATTAGCAACAGTAATGCCAAGTGTATCACATTTGATACATGAGTTTTTGAGGCCTCTGCGTCATCATTGTGATTGTTTTTAACCATAACTTTAATTCCCTTATATGTTTTTGTTGATTTAAGATAAACTAACTGTGAGCAGTAAATTGCACAGAAATGCCAGATGTAGCAAAAATTCTACAAACTAAAACTTATAGATGCAAATTTATTTGAATTTTCTGGCAGTTGTTTCATGGTTCAGGCTTTAAAGGTTTTAGGAAATGATCAGGGCGATTAGAATGCATAAATATTTTATAATAAAAGTATTGACATTGAAATGTTTGTGCCATATTTTAGTATAACTTGAACTGCGTATAAAGTAAAGGTGCAATCAGTTATGTTTTTTGTTCACTTCACAAAATTAGACTGCCGTTGTGAGAACCCCAGCAGGGTTAGAGTCACTGCAAATCCATGCAAAGTTTTGAGTGAGTACTTGAATTTTTATGAAATGCACTGAATCATTTCTATCCTGATGTGAACGTGTCACAGACCCTGGGTTTTTGGCATTTACTGTTTGATTTCCTATATTTAGTGTTCTGAGTCTTTGGGTTTCATTTTCTATTTAACAATATTTTCCTTGTAGCCTCAGTTTTATATTTATGTTTTCTTACCTTTAGTTTTCTGATCTAGTCTTCTTTGATCATAGTTATGTTGTATAGATCACTTCCTTAGGTTTCAGGTTTTCTGCCTCTCTGGTGTTTCCCCGTAATTTGTTGTCAAATCTCCATCCCTGTGCCAGATGTTTCTTATTATACCTCCTGTTTTGTTTGGTAGTCTTTTGCTCCTGGTGCCTTATATTTCCGTCCGTCTGTGCCTTATTCCGTCTGTCCAGCCAACTGCTCCCTTTTCACCTGATTAGGCCTTTGTGTTTTTAATAGCTTCAGTTGCCCTTTGTGTTTGTCGCAATGTCTGTTTATCTCACTGTTGTTTGTTTTTATGTGTTTGACTGTCATGTATTCTGTTTCTCTGAATTTTTGGACAGTTTTCCACCATTAAAGGTGAGCCTTTAGTTAAACCTGCCTGCCTGTAGAGTTTCTGCCTGCTTGTAAAGCTTTTGGGTCCAAAGTCCTTCAAACTATAACAGAATGGCTCCAATGATGACAGTGCACTCATCCACTGGTCAGAAAGGGTCATGGAGTGGTTTATTGTGTATGAAAATTATGTGAATCACATGCGGTGGTCTTCACTGCAATCATAGCAGAAGTTCAGTGCTTTGAGGTAATTGCACACTTCCCGATTGCATATTCTTTTTAAATAATCGTCACATTTAAAAGATTCAGCCCATCAAACAAATTACAATATTATTCAACTATAGCTTGTCAAAAAATCGAATGCAGTTTTTCACCCTCAGCTGTGAAAGGCTGATGGGTTATTGCCATTACATGACCGGCTGCCTTGGCATCAGAGTTTTTAAATGCAAAAACGAGCGAATGAGGTGAGGTAGGATTTTGAAATTGAAACCATAGGTGCATCTTCTTAAAATTTAGGACGAGTTTGAATCTCAGTGACATAAACTTAAAGGATAAGGTCAGAGGTCAAGTTTTCTGAAAATCTTGTGAATGCGATAACTCAACATTGAAGCGATGTAGGATTTTGAAATTGAAACCATAGGTGCATCTGTTGGAAGCTGATGGGTAGCACTTGCTACTCGCCAGTATTTTTTAATGATGATTTTATTTATTAGGGGGAAAAATATCCAAACCTACCTGGAAGATGTAATTTCACAAGGTAAATGTCACAAGTCAAAATCCAGGCTTCATTACTTCCAGATATGTTAAATCAAGAAATAATTTAAGTCTGATAAAGTAAACTAGGCTAAAAGATCTAAAAACTAACTATCACATGATATAAAGAAGCAGGTGAGAAACAAAGTCATGGAAAGAGTTAAAAGGTCATTTCTCATGGCTTAGGACTCCAGTGAACCACAAATGAGAAAACCTGGTGGAACGCTGGCGAACCTTAACAGGAGTGGCCAGCCTACGAAAATTACTCCAACATTACATTAATGACTAATCCAGATGTCCACAAAAGAACCCAGAAAAAACATCTAAAGAACTGAGATTTCCAAGGCGAGAATCACTTCTGAGCAAAAAAAACAACACAGGCTGTTTGCTGCTTCAAGACCTGGACAGCTTTCCAAATTGATGGATTCATGAATTCTGCTCTCCAGAAAAATCCTGACGGAGATTGTCCACCCTTCAGTTTGAGCTCTGAAGCTCATGGGCTTGATTATGCAGCAGGACAATGATCTGAAGAACACCAGCAAGTCATCTGCATGGCTCAAAAAACAAAAAACAAAATGAAGATTTAGGAGTGGCCTAGTCAAAGTCCAGACTTAAATCTGATTCAGATGATTAATTAAGACCTTATACAGGCCGCTCATGCACGAAAACTCTTTAGTATGACTGAATAAAGACTAATCTAAAAGGAAGAGTGCGACAAAAGACTGAAAAGACTCCTCGCAAACACTTCATTGTGGTTCTTGCTGCCAAGGGTGCCACAAGCATTTTTTAGTTTTAGGGGTCAAGTACTTTCACACCAGGCCATTAATAAATGAAAATCATCATTTAAAAAATGCTGTTTGGTTTTACTCTGTTATCTTTATCTAATACTAAAATTGTTTAATGATCTGAAATATTTAAAGTTGCAAATGTGCACAGCACTGTATTAGAGGATCAGTGGCACAAAAAAAATATTTTAATGCAGTCAAGACAATTTCTAACAACTACAGCCACACGAGTGTAGCGTCGACCGAGTGTAGCATCACGCTAACAGGTCATGCCAGTTCTTTAAAAATATCTTTATAAAATCAAATAGAAGACACAAGTCCTGTTTTCAACTTGAAGTCAGCGCTCTTTAATCACACAGATGATAGCAGGGTGTTTTTCAGTGGCTACTGACGTCAATTGATTCCATAATATTCAAGAGAAAAACATTTTGTGTGTTTTGTGATCAAGGTGAAGTGGAGAGTGTATCTTATTTTCTTTTACACTTTACAAAGCATGATGTGGTAAGAGGGTTTATTTTCCTAGAAAGGGCACACAAAGCACATTCTGGGCACATCTTGGCTTTATTTTGTTGTCTCTAAGTTTATACCATTATCCACTTTTCTGAAGTGTACCATAAAGAATTCGATTTGGGGCCCAGCACAATCTGCTCTAGACCGAATATCTAAAAAGCAGTCTGCACTGGTGACTTACATTTCTTCATTTCCTGATTTTGATAAATGACAAAGGAGTAGAAATTCTTCTCACTCTTTTTCAGGTGTTGATTTACAGTCCAACATTTTTCAAATATGTCTACGAATCGTGGCTTGACAGTCATGGACGATATCCTTCGACCGGTTTCCTCAGTTTGCTGCTCGCTGTCCACATATGTGATGAGGTAAGGAGAACTACTCTAATAGGTAACATATGTGACTGCTCAGTCATTCCTGCCAACACCTCCATTTTTCATAAGTTTCTACCATATTTCCCTGCCAATTCCTTATTTATTGTTTTTCCTTGGATAGTCCTCTAATTTGTGTGACCCTCAAACTTCATTATGAATAATTGTCATCCTGGTATCCATATTTTTGTGTGTTTATCTGATGTGTTCTAAGATGTCAGATTGTTTTAGAAATACAGTCCAAACACTGCAGATAATTTCAGCCTGCAGTGATGTCATACTCAATTACATCAAGGTAAAATGATAGAGTTGTGACCTGGCAAAGATTGAGGAACAGACACAGATAAAATATCCGCACATATCAAGAAATTGAGTATTTAATAAACCTAAAGTGAGCTATTTCAGACCTTCTTTGTTTTCATTTTGATCATTATGGCTTACAGGTAATGGAAATCAAAAATAAAATATTATTAGAATATATTATTTTGAGTTTAAGTAAATTAGTATTCAAGTATTAGAAACATCATGGATCTCCTGGTTTAGTTCAATACACACAATCACAATCGTGGGGAAGACTGCTGACTTGACAGCTGTCCAGATGACTATCATCAACACCCCACAGAAAGAGTGCAAACCACAGAAGGTCATTGCTGAAAAGCCTGGCTGTTTTCAAAGTGCTATATCAGGGCACATCAATGGAAAGTTGGAGATTTATGTTCAGTAGTCCAGTGTCCTCTTTTCAGTGGAGGACACTGGACTTAAGATGAGGACAGTCAGCATTTCATTTGAAAGTCTGTCTGTCTCAAAGTCTGGAGTAAGAATGGAGAGGCACAGAATCTGAAAAGAATCCAAGCTTTATGGAGATGCCAATTTAATTTTCCAGCTGGACTTAGCACCTCCTCACACAGCCAGTACTGCTACAAAACGGTTTACTGTCAAGGTTGTTTTAGTGTGCTTGACTGATGAGCCAGCTTGCCTAACTTGAACCCCATAGAAAATTTATGACATATTGACAAGAGAAAGATGAGAAACTCCAGACCAAAAAAAAAAAGACCAATGGAAGAGCACTATAAAAGCAACCTGGGCTAATTCCTAACCAGTGCCACAAGCTGAGTGCCTCCATGCCAATGTGCTTTGATGTAGTAATTAAGAACTAAGTATACCCATAGAGAGTGTAGAAGAGAAACAGCTACCATAGACCAATTTAAAGCCTCGAGATAAACGTTTCTACCATCACTGGTAATCTGGCATATTTCCAGTGTGCCAACGCACTTTTGGGCCGATCGACTGGTCTGAAGAGCCACCGCACACTGGCCGTACAATCACTGATAGCATCCCATTCGTTCCTTTCCATTACTGACACTGGATTGCACATTCAAATCTCTTAATGCGAGATTTGAATGTGCCCTCATAGAAAACGTTCAGTGTGGAAGAACAAAACAATAAAAAGAATGAAGTTTTTTTATTCCATATGACCCAAAATGAGTGACTGAGGACATAAACGCTGAAGTCTTTTTTTTAACCATTGCTATCACTATCTGGTAGCGTTCAGAAGTGCTTCTGCAAAGATGTTGACTAAACTTCCAATGTCAATATCGCCTTAATGAAATATTGTTCAAATTAAAGAAACACTTTCCTCCAGTTGCTGTAGTTGTTTCACTTGTAGAGACACATTTCTTGAAACATTTCACCCTTTTCTCATAACTCTAAAAACAAAACCCAATTCTCAAACTACATTCGCAAAATCGTTGACTCTTCTGGCAAAATCTAAAAACCCATCCAAACAGTTTTATCTGTGGTCAGAACCACACAATGGTCTGCTCATGCATACAGAGAGTAAAAATAAGAACAAAACTGAGCTTTCAGTACACCCTACATGAAACAATGAAAAGCACAGTGTTCAGGGGATGTATCCCAGGCCTTTAAATCTCATATTGATGTCTTAGAAGTCTACAAAAATATGAAGCAAAAACAAAAATGGACAATGGCTGAGATATGTCTCCCTTCTTTAAAAAAAAAAAAAGAGAAATTATAGGTTGTGTTTAAATTCAGTTGCTCACCTGAAATTACTTTTCTTGACCTGGCTCCACCTCTTCTCCTCAGATTGTTTCCATTGCTTGTTGAATTGATCAGGTTGTATTGGTTAAATGGCATCATTAGTGACAACAGCGAACTATTTTGTGTAGACAATGAGCTAGAACCAAATTTTCATCAAAATGAGCCATCATCTGATCTAGCCAAATTGAATTCAGTTTCTGTGTAACAGGCTGTGTGATGAGTGCATCCAGACCATCTACAAATTGCAACAATTTCTCTTTTTAAATAAAAAAAATAGGTAGTAGAAACAAAATTGTTTTCTAGTGTCACCAAAATCTCATCACATATCACTGGCCTCATGTGGTGATACTGCACAGTGTATTTCTGTAAAAAATCAATTTCAAAGTTTGCAAAATGCTTCCACAACTGGACTTGTGAAGCAAAGATCGCTCTGTTGATGATTAAAAAAAGGCATTTGGAGAACTTTGGAGATACTGCAAAGTATGTTATTATGCACTAAGAGTATCTGTGGTAGTTTCACTGTGATTAAACTTGTCTCTTACAGGTCAGTGTGTTTGGATTCGGTGCAGACCAGTATGGAAACTGGCACCACTACTGGGAGGAGAACCATTTGGCCGGAGCTTTCCGACACACAGGAGTCCACGATGGAGATTACGAATATAATGTCACCCTGCTGCTGGCAGACAAGCACAAAATCCGAATGTTTAAAGGCAGATGATACCGAGCCCATATGTGCAGCTGGATGACCACCAAATGAACCTCAGCAGCCTTTTAATGTTCGTTACCCACCAAAAGAAGAATTTTGTTTTCATTTTATTTCTTTATTTTACAGATTCCAAAGACATTTTCACTATTCTGCTCAGCCCAGTTTCCTGTCATTTACTGAAGTGGCTGTTTAACAAATGTCACTTCTATTGTCACACCAGGAGACGAGGACAGGCCATCCATAAGACAAAATCAGCACTGCCATGGGAGACTGAGCAGATAATAGTAGAAGGGAGACGAAGATGTATGTTAATAAGCATGTTATTATAAAAAGCTGAAGTTCTACTACATAGTATGTGTATAATCCATGTGTCGCTTTTCTATATACGGTAATGATGTCCAGCACTGTGGCCGCCAAAAGCTTTGTATGCTAATGATCAGACCAAGTGCCGTAATTACCGTTAATGTCATTCAATTGCCTCTGTTGCAAACTGTTTAAGTTTAAATTGATACCCAATAAATGTAAAAGCATTTAAAGCAAAACCCTACAGACCTAACATCAAAATGCATTTTCACAATATGGCATTGGTTTTTTACTTTGTAGTGATGGACATGCGAGAAATTCTGCTGTTTTTTGTCAGACCCACCAATTTTTTAATGTGCAACCTGCACTAAAAAGCTATTTATTAACTTGCTTTCCTGATTACAGCTGTAAAATAAAGTTTAATGACACTAAAGGGGTGCTTAAAATTGAACCCAAAATCTAGCCCCAAGAAATTATTTTACTACATTGGGACATTTACAGAAAACCCCCAGGACTACAGCCACATCTATGGGAAATACTTAAGTGTTCAGTCCAAATGTCAAACACTTTGTCATCCCTACATACTAAGTTTTGCAGTATAGTTTTAAAAATAACCATATTGTCAATGCTAGAGCAAAAATTAAGTCTCTATCAAAAAGAGTCTAAAAATGACTATGCACTTTGTTTTGCGTCTAATAAGCTTCAATAGTGCTATGTATTTCGAGCCAAATGTTAGCTGTCTAACCTGCTAAGCTATGATGGGGAACATGTTAAACATTCCTTGTGCTAATAATGCTAGCATTATCATAAAGAGCATTTTAGCATGCTAGTATTGAGCCCAAGTTCGCCTGTGTCTCACAGAGCTGCTGGTATATGCAGTGTTTTAATCTTCCCACACTTAATCTTATTTTCTCCTTATTTTGTTGAAGATTTGTGGGCTGTAGTGTTTTTTGTGACACAAGTGTGTATCTCCTAGCAAGTCAGAATTAGCACGGTGACACTAAAAAAAATTAATAAGCTAGTTCCTTAGTTGTCACTCTCTGTGCTCGCTGTGCACTGAGGGTACAAATAAGACTTAGCTTTTTAATCTTATTCTTCTTATTTTGTTGGATATTTCTTGACTGTGATGGTTGAGAAGTAGACACACAAATCTGAGCTAGCACGCTGGTACTCATGGGCTACATTACAGTATCCACTGCCTCTATCCTTGGCTTTTTCAGATATGTCTCAGTCACATAGAGAACAATAGAATGACAACCTCCTTGTGACTAGGAAAAATCAGTCATTGGTTGTACTGACTTTTTTCACATTGGCGACTTATTTCAAATAGTTGGGACCAACAACTGGTTGCCTAAAGGTTAAGTGTCTAACAGTCAACAACTTGTAATTCAACAGCTTGCCACCAAAATTATATTCTCATTATGTCTTTATATATAAGCAAAGTTGCTGAGCGCCAATGTCATCTTGCAGTTAAATGATCGTAATGCAGCAACTACATTATTTGTGGAGGGATTTCTGAATTTTAAATCCATGGTTCTGGTTGGCAGTAGCAGTTAATGTAAATTTCTGTTTAATATGAATTTCTGTGGATACAGACAGCAATGAATTTGTATTTTTCACCAGTTTAACACAGTTGATCACCATATTAACAAAAACTGACTGCATTTAAATGCTAACTTGACCCCATTCAATTGCAAACTGATAGCAGACTAACTCCATCTTATTGCTGTTGCATTGCCATCCTTGAAGTCAGCAAGGATGAGAGTAGTCCCAGACCCAGTCTTTGTTTTCAAAGCAACTTCTTCAAAGGACGCCAGTTCAGTCATTTTCATTTTCTCTAGTTGTAGTATCGAATTTTCTACCCACAGTTTAAGTGTTACATACCCAGTGTGTATTAGGAGAGATGACTGTAATGAAAAATCTCTTGAAATTTTCATGAATTATATGAATTATTTCCATCTCTTTGACAGAGGGCTGGCCTGAGCTACATATTCAGAGCACAGACATTACATTAGACAGGATGCAGCGTGTGCTTCAGCTGCTTTCACTAAAAATACCATAATGTGGCACCTTCCTGCGGCTTTATGTGGCGGTGTGGGCGTGTTAATATGTAAAATGTAACCGAGGTGAAACAGAAAATAATGCTTTATTGCTCTTATTTGTTCCCGTGATCACTTCTCTCTCTCTCTCTCTCACCACTAACCACTGTGGCTCTCTCTCTCGCTCTCTCTCTTGTTGAGCTGAGGTGAAGGGGGTCAGCTTTTGATGTTTCTCACAATTTCAGCACATTCTACATTTGAAATTGTAGAATACCAACACCAACTTAGTTTCTGTTCTAGACAGAAAGAAAGTTTGGTGCTTGGAATTTGTTTCTTTTATTAAATCTGCTGGGCCAAAAGGACTCTACTGGAGACCTGCAGCTACCTGTGGATTAAGAGTTGTGTTATAGCAAAGCAATCAATGAGATTGTGCCATTGGGTGTGATGGAAAAATGATAGAAAGGTTTTCAGTGTTTGCAGCGTAACACAAACAGCGGGTTCTTTGTCATCGATCATTAACACCTGACATACGAACCAGCCTATACAGGGGTGCCTTATCGTTGAAATCAGTGATGTAGTATACATTTTTTGATGTATTATGTGACACAGTTTGTAAATGAAAAGTATGTGTAAAGTGCCTTACAGTTAAAGTGTACTGTATTGTTGTGTAAATCTGACACTCATATGCTTGGTACACACAGTATAGCTGTCTCATTTATTGTCAGTAAGATGCCAACATGTTTTGCACTTTTTGATGAGGTGTCGCTCTGTTTTGTCCAGATTTTATTAGCTTGCTGATCACACTGAACTCTCACCTTCTTATTTTTACTCACAGACATCTGACCTGAAATGTTGTGCTTGTTCAGATGATGCAGGAGTTAGGCTTAGCTGCAGTAACAGGCTATGATTTGCTCTGTGTGCCTTGTAACAGATTAGAGACATTTGTATGGCCGGTGTCTTTTCTTCATTCTCGCACACACAGAGACAAACCACAATTTGGTTTTTCCTGTCACCATGAATTCATTCAGCTGCCACAGAAAACAACAGTGGTGTGAATGTGTCATACAGGGAGCAGGGAATACTGCCACCTAGTGGACAAAAACGTGGGTCAGCATTAACGTGTTTTGATTTGGTATTATATGATTCAGTATGAACTGGCACTTTTCAAACTGTAGTCATTGTTTATCGTTTAAATAAACTGTAAGTAGTGCAGTTGTTTCAGTCTTCACACACACACTAGCTGTGAAGATGGATGTATGTAAGACTAAGACACAAAATAAAGGCTCCAATGAAAAGAATGGGTGACTTCATTTAGTTTTACAGAAAATTGTTAAACACACGGTCTGACACACATTAGGCTGGAAAATTCCTACAACAGCTCAGCTGGTTTCTTATATCTGTTCAAGCTTTTTTGTTTCCTTTGTATTCGTTTTTTTTACTGATATCTTGTTGGAATTTGTTAGTGATTTATATCAAAGAAAGTTCAGTCATTTAGTGTAAGCCTAACTCAAACACAGTGAACAAAACATTTTAGTTATTTTTTTAGAAATCACAGACACCCTGTCCTCAAGGCTCAAAAAAAGAGGAGCAACATTTCTCTTGAGTGATACAGGTTATAAAACAAAAAACGGTCCTCTCCAGATGATGCCTTTTCAGGGAAGGTCTTGCTTAACCCAGAAGATATTCAACAGCACGGCTATTCCAGCAGCGTAGCTTTGTGGTTTTAAAAAAAGAAGACCATGTGCAAAACTGGTGTGACTGCAGCCCAGGCCAGTCACCCACAGAAAACTACAGAAAACGGGCTCATGATTTTCTGAACCTTTACAGAGTATCAGCGGTGATGCGGCACAGATGCTTCAGACAAAAGTATTCAACCCTTCAATATTAAAAAAAGATCAGTTTTGCTGTTCTACATATTTGCTAGATTTGTTAATTAGAGTTCACATTAAAAAGTTTAAAATGTAAAAACAACCTGTGTCATGTGACTGACATTGACATGTGTCTTCTGTCTTCATCTTTCCATTGCTCCTTTTGAGGGTCCCATAACATCCTCCTCTGTCACACCAACCCTCTGCATGGCCTTCCTCTTTTCCTTCTGCCTGGCAGCTCCATTGCTACATCTTCAACACCCTTTATCCAATTCCACTTCCCTCCTGTGCACATGTCCACACACTCATGGCAAGGCATGCTAAATTAGCAAGAGCATGTCATACATATAAATCTATCTATCTATCTATCTATCTATCTATCTATCTATCTATCTATCTATCTATCTATCTATCTATCTATCTATCTATCTATCTATCTATCTATCTAT